CTAATAACCGCAGTGCTCGTCGACTAAACAACAACTCACAACAGCGTTACATAATCGTACTAATGCTCCTGCTCAAGGACGTCACACCGATAACCCTGCTTGCTATCAGTTGTGCAACAGATAAGGTCATACTGCAACTGTTTGCAGGTCACAATCTTATAATCATTTAGAGGCAAATTTTCTTTCAGGTACACAAGCTGCGCCCAACCAATGGATTGTTGACTTCGATGCTACTCATCATGTCACTACAGAGCCTACTAATCTTGAAGAATATAATGGTTCGGAAGGCATAGCTATTGGTAATGGTAAAAGAATTCCAATTACTCATCTTCATTCTAATGAATTAATTGCATCAAATAATGCTTTTAAACTAACTGACACTTTGTGTGTACCTGCTATCAAATATTTGTTTTTTTATCAAAATTTTGTCAAGATACTTTGACCTCAATTGAATTTTTCTCATTTTCTTTGCGAAGGACTTGAAATCGCGGACTTTGCTAACATACGAGGAGTAGAAAAGTAACTAGCTAACCCAACGGCGGCCCGACGAATTTTGTGGCCTAAAGCCAAACTTTATGAGGAGCCTTAACTTGTTTATTTATTTATTTATTATTATTATTATTATTATTATTATTATTATTTATTTGAAGTCTATTTTTTTAGCTTTTTATCTAAAATCACAAGGTAGGGTAACGTATGCATACACACTACCCTCTTCAGACCCCACGGTGTGGGATAATACCGGGTGTATTGTTGTTGTTGTTGTTGTTGTTGTACTTTTTTTAGCTTTTCTTAGATGCAAAGTTATTAATAATTTTCTTATAATCAATAACTCCTAATAAGTTTTCACAATTGACAATATAGCTAATCTATTTAACCTTTCTTCTGAGTTGTGACGTTGTTGTTCTTAGGTAAGATTTTATCAATTTTAATTTTGAAAACTTCTTTTTGCTAAAGCAACGGTAATATGAGTTATGAACATTATTCCACAAGCAATTTAGGCATTTGAAAAAAATTAAATCTTTTTATTTGATTAAGTGTATCAATTAAACTGTTATCTTCTAAATGTACTATTTTCCTTAATACTTTTAATTCAGAAAATAAATCTAAACCATCAATATCGAATTGATTATTATGCTTTAAGGAACATTCAAGATTAAGACAATATTTTTTAAAATTTCCAACCTCTAGTTCTTAGTTTTTCCTGATAGAAAACCAAAAATATTTCCATATGCTTTGAATTGTTCAAATCTATTTTGAAGTGAAAAATAACCTTGTCTATTAAGTATAAAACTAATCAACTCTAAAGGACTCTTCGAGATTTTGAGATTTCATTATCAACATTCGCATCAAATTGTTACTTTCTATATACCACACGTTTCTTACGAAATTCAGGTTTGAAGTGCAATTTCCTTGGTAGAAATCATATCAATTGCAAATCCTTCTTATCTATATTTGTTAAAGAAAGAAATCAAGCGTTTTCACTTTACAGAACTCTTTTTTAAACTTATACATAGTCTATTAGGTGTAACAAAAAATGGGACCCTCACAAATATAGGGCTTAAAGCGATTGTTTTACTTGCTTTATGGAAGGGCCGCCCCTGAGCTAACCACACCATAATAGCAACATGAAAAGTCGTGTGAAGCTCACCAACACAAGATTAAACGTACTATTCGTTGGGAGAAACATGGTGCAACCGTGCAAGCACATCCCATATAAACAATGTTTAACACAACATCAAGTTCAATGTATCATCATCACAAAGAAGCTGCAGACAAAATACACATTGCTGGAAAATGAACGGAGCATTTTGTAACTATTAATTAGATGTGCCCCACCAAATCATGACATCTCCATAGGCATATATAATCCCCAACCCCCCAACCCCCCCAAAAAAAAGGAAAAAAAAACACAGAAAAGAGTTAAAAAAAACCTCCACAGTAAGAACTGTGATCTCTTCCTATCTAAAGCCTTATAGGCAGAATTTTTTCAACCAATTTTATTGTTAGGAAATTCACTAGACTAGAGTACTATATAGAGGAGAAACTAGCTAGTTTTTAAGTAGTTCCAAAAATTCCAATATTTATTTACCAAGAACTACACCCTAAGATATAGGGAATTTCTAATGACTCCACAATTAGTGGAATTCCAGAAAATTATGCTTTTGGTTTCTGAAGATAGATGACAAGACATCACGTGAACATTATCCTAAACTAACAGCCTACTCTAAATTATATACAATGAAGGTACCAGAGGGGAGCCTGGCGCAATGGTAAAAATTGTCGTTGTGTGACCAAGAATTCACTGGTTCAAGCTAAAATAATTTCTTGCATAAATGCAAAGTAAGACTACGTACATAATACCCATCGGTCCTTCTGTGAGCCCAATGCATAGCAAAAACTTAGTACATCGAGTTTTATTTTTATACGCTGAAAAAGATCTCCAAATTGAGTTGTCGATGGGACAAATCTGCTAGAAGGTTCCCGCATTGCTAAGTACAAACACGATAGGAATGGTACCTCCATTCTACTAGACGAGTACACAAGCGACATATCAACACCTACATTTTCAACAAGTCCAAGGCGAGAAACCGAGGAAACCTATTGATTGTTCGCGAAGTAGACAATTTAAATTTAACAACTCTCCTTGAAGGGGAGCGTGAAACAACGGTAAAACTGTCTCAGTATAATCTACAGATCACGGGTTCGAACTGTAGAATCAACCATTAATATTTGGGGTGCAATCATTCCCCGGACCCTGAGTGAACACGGAATTCCCCTGAGTTAAGGAGATTCCCCTTTTTCACATGTGAAGTCTGCAAACAACATACATCAGCAAAAATAAATGTACATTCAATTCCAAATTCAACAATTTATCAATTGAATGCACAAACGGTAATGTCAACTTCATGTCAATTTGATCTAAGCTAGCGTTTGGCCATAGATCCCAAATTTATTTTGAAAAATCTAATTTGGGCGAAATTTGGTTTGAAAATGAAAATGTGTTTGGACCTATGTTTTTAAAACATATTTTCCAACTTTATTTTGGAAAAACATATATATAATTCCCAAGTTTTGGGATTTTGGCCCAAAATTTTGGAAAAACATGGCTTAATAGCTGATTTTGGGATTTGAGATTTGACTAAAATGTGGGCAAAATTTATGACCCAACATGAGTTTTGAAAATAAATCCCAAATTTGTTTTGGCAAAACTCATGGCGCCTAAAGATAAAAGCCCACATCTTTATTTTATTCTTGTAGCTCTAATTTTCATTCACACAAGCAGAGCATATTCCATCTGAGTTCAGACACAAAAGAAACAGAGTGACGCTAGTATATGAATTCCAACGCCCGACATCAACTAATACTTGGAAACAAAAAATAATACACTAACAAAAAGTAATATGTATATATGTGCATTATATACCATACAATATAACAATTTTGTATTTTGCCCTATTAAAAAATTTATCCGAATGAGTATTCACTGTTTTTTAATCCAAAAATCCTACAGTCGTAGGGTTTACAAAGGGGCTTTCCAACAGAGGCAAGAAGAAGAACTAATCCATCCCACCTGGATTAAAGTAAGTATATCCACTGATATTCCCACTTCACGCTTTTTTTATAATTCAGAGTTTAACTTGCCAAATTTTTACATACTTCATAAAGGAAATTACCACAGCAAAGTTTAAAACTAAGAATTTGGGGTGGGTTGGGAGGCCCGCACAAGTGAGTTCTGCGAAGTAGGCAGCGTCAACACTTGGCCAGCCTATAACCCCTCCATAAATTCTTGCGCCACAAAAATGTTTGACGAGCGCTGCGGCCGGCTCTCACCGTCCGCTTTGTTTTCCTTACTCATTAGTTTAAGGCAAGTTCTTTCGACGCTGCCTCTCGGCCTCTTATACTACTGACATATTTGGTGATGATGTCCTGCTCCTCGATGTGGGACTTAGAATTCTTTGGAGAATCTTTTCTAGCCTTTTTCGTTTTCTTTTAGCAGACCCAAAAAAAAGATCCCAATTCCATCGACTAATCACCTAAGAAAAGAACAAAAATCCATGGACTAATCACCTAGATGACTAGATCTCACCATTACATCCAATTACCCATCATCACCAAGGATAGAAGTCAATTTCCTCAACATTTTAACCAATAAATTGTTGAACCAGATAAATAAAATAATTATTATGAGGAGTTTTATGATGAAATATATAAAATGGATTACTACTTTAAAAAGTTAGGAAAAACTTTGTAACTTGGGCGATAAATCTACTCACCACTCGTTAGTCCGCTATGAATTGATCCAATACAACTTATCTGAGATTAGTTTCTCTAACAATCAGACTAATAGTCTGTTTGGCCAAGCTTCTAAAATCTGGTTATTTTAAGAAGTGATTTTTCCAAAAGTGCTTCTCAAAAAAGTACTTTTGTTGAGAATCAGTTTGTGTTTGGCTAATTAATTTGTAAAGCACTTTTGAGCAATAATTAGTGTTTGGCCAAGCTTTTGAAAACTGCTTCTAAGTGTTTTTCTCAAAAGTGCTTCTCAGAAAAATGCTTTTGGAGAGAACCTACATTTTTCTGCTTCTCAAAAACTGCTTCTGCTTCTCCTCAAAAGTACTTTTTTCCCCTCTAAAAGCTTGGCCAAACACCCCAATTTCTGGCCAAAAGTGTTTTCGGCCAAAAAAAGCACTTTTGGCCCAAAAAAAAAGCTTGGCCAAACAGGCTATAAGCTTGGATATATATTTTGTGCTGAGTTTGGAGTACAAGCATCAAAGAATCTAATTTTCGATATGAAATTGGACATTGATTTATTACAACTATGCAAAATTACACAAAAAGTCACTATTTTCATTAATATAAAATATTTGAAGAAGTTGTAGGCAAAGGAATTGGCTATTTGATTCCGTACTACAAATAAGTACTAGTATTATCATATGAAAATGGCACTAAGGGAACATTTGTTTAACTGATTAGTTTTACAGGGAACTTCACTTAGCTAGTAGTTGTCAATAATGCTTTCTTGTATTTCCACTATGAGGTACAAAATTTGCACTGTCATCTTATTACAAACTTGGGGAAGAATGCATTTCCGCCGGAAAAAAGATACAGAATACACTTTACATATGATGAATAGCTTTGTCTGTTCAAATAGAAGGCTAGTTACAATGAATCAATCAAAAAAGAGTCCAAATAATCAAACACATTACATGACATACACACTGATACATTTTGTAAGCAGCCTTTTATCATGGCTTTTTTGACAACAGTGGTTCTAGTTGAGGGTCAGCGCCTTTGGTAAGAAAGGATTCCTGGAAACCTGATTCGAGTTCAGGTTGAGAAAATTCATCTTTCCTTTGATTTAGTAGCCTCTGGAACAAGCTTGGTTTGTTTTCTGTCAAAAATTCTTGTGCCTTGGGAAATTCATTTAACCTCTGAACATGTTGAAGACAAACTTGAACAGCATCGTGGACTCGGACAAAGTACCACTCCTTGCCAATCAGATCAATCACACCAGCTCTAGCTAGGGTCAGAAGCACTTCGCGGTTGGGATTGGAAATGGCTAACTGCAATATTACACATATTATCACTGTGATAAGTTGCGAAAGATAAGATATTACTCTAGGATACAGAATTCGAGAAGCATGTTCGTGTAATCTGAACCAAAGAGAGACTCTCAACCTGAATGTCTCGTGATTTATATTCCTGGTGGAGCTCTTTCAGAGCTTGAACAGCACTGGAGTCTATATATGTAACAGCTGGAATAGATATGAGAACTGTGATTAGTATGAACAAACAAATGCTAGATATAGTCTAGTCAGATGCTTCTTCTATTCTTTTCCCTGGCGCAGCTGGGCCATCCTGGACTTGAACCAGAGACCTCGCCCGTGAAGTAAATCATCGCACCTACGGTCCAACCAATTGGGAGAGAATCAATAGATTCCTTTTCGGGAGCGATTCATCCTTCCCGAACGCAGCATACAACTCTCCGTTGTACTGCGTTCTCCAAGTGTGCTTGGTCCCCCCATTCGAAATTGGTCAGGTAAAGAAGGAGAATTCAAGATTCTAGAGTCTAGAGAAGAACAAACAAAAAGAGAAAAAAAAAGGAAAAGGACAAACCCTCAAAGCATTTTACTGTTCTTCAGTTTTCACATCAAATACCGGAATATATTAGACAATTAAAGACCAAAAATAGGAGCTTAAGCACTACTAAAGCATAGCGAAGGAAATAGCAATGGTAAATTTATCATAGTTTTGTCCTTCTGACACAGCCTACGCTAGAAAAATGAGCCAACTCATGGAGACTTACGGGCCATCTCAAGGATCACAAAATGAATTCTTGAAACTTCTGGTCCCCGACCTGTAGATTCATCCTTTTCAATTTCGTAATCCCGTAACCTGTGAAAGAAATAAAATACAGATCACAGGGACATGTGGGATATGATTTGCTGAAAGCCTTAACAGTTTAGTGAAAATGTTTCAGAAATATTGAATTCAAGGTAAAAACTTGCTCTCCTTTCAGAAAAATAAAGAAAAAGAAAAACATCATGTTGTCACCTGTCTTTGATGTAACTGGTGTTGGCAAAGTAAATAGGTGCATCAATTCGAACAATCACAATCCCATTATACGTATATGCTTCGGGGTACTGTTGAGTGTTCCGGTAAATAGTAGTACCAGGAAGGCGCCCCAAGACAGCTGAAAGAAACTCATGTCATCAAAAATTATATTATTTATAAAGCATTGACCAGAAACAAAAGAAATTGAAACTTAGCACCAGTGGTTTAAACATCATAAGTACTTGATTATCTTGTTAACTTGCCAGTAAAGAACTAGTGGAAAAAGAAATGCTTGTAAAACTGAGCGTCGCAGCAAAATGAAATATATGAAGGAATGAGAAAAACTACCAGATAAAACATTATATTGAGAACAGAAAATTTAGAGGACACCAGGAGGCACCAAAGAATAGCAATGCCAATATGAAGAAGTCAATGATGCAATTACAGGGTAGTGATATGAAAAAGCTCAAGAATCGTGATGGCAACAAGCAGATATTAGTTAAGTTTAAAAACTCCAAATAAAATTAATATGTCAAATTACATAATACGATCTGCTATGGCATCCGCAGATTTGATGTAAGTACATGGATATTAGACAATTGCAGTAACTCACCAATATGTGGATTTGCTGATTCATGGATAACAAAAGCAAGTGAGACACCAACCTGCAAATAAATGAGACCAAAAAATTGGCAAGCTGAGTTTAACCTTAAGATTATCAAATGCTATATTTTTCCAACACAAAGGTTATCGGCTAGTAGTTATTGACCTCTATTGCATATTGTCAAGTTCTTTTTCTGGGTAAGGAATTATAGCATGTGCAATGAAGGATGTTTTTTTGGTTCCATTATGCGATATAACCAAGGCATTGAAATCCAAGCATTTACTTCAAAATATTTCAATGATCAAGGAATTAAGCAATTCCTGCAAAATAGTTGTACTAAAGAACTCTATAAAATTATGTAACTAACATGCAGGCCAAGCTCATAGCAAAAGAACAGTTAACTGAAGAGGACAGATAGTTCTCAATTTCTAGTGTAGGAAAAAACTTCAATTCAACATCCAGAATAAAAATGTACAATATGTTCAGGTCTGGTTAGAGAGAAAAACTAACCCCAACAAGGACACCAATCTCTATGCCAAGCAACAAGGTTGTCATGCAAGTAATAGTCCACAACAGAAAATCTTTCTTGTCAACACGCCATAAAAATTTAGCCTCATCGTAATCCACCTGAAAGGAGGAAAAATAGAAACATGAATCTAACTTTGCAATCTAAGCATGAAACTTGCTTCAGTTAAAATTCATTCATCTACTTCCAATAAGATGCAGAGTTAATTGATCCTAAAACAGTCAGTACTGAAACCAGAATTTCATCGTCTGATGCTTCAAGTTGATAAATATCTTACAGAAATTTGTGCTTAGCGAAAATCGTTAAGAAATAAACAAGGAAGTTTACAGGAATCATCTAAAACAAATAGAGAAGTGATAACTAAGAGCTCATTCAAGGAATTACAAATGCAAACCATCAAATGATTCTTCTATCCAGCTTACTATGTTTTACTATATGACTCATATTTCCTGATCATACAGCAATTCTTCCCAGGGAAGATATGAATAGAGTGTCAGGAAAATCAAACAATGAACTGAAAATTCTCCTATAACATTTACTTAAAGAAGCCTTAGTGAAAAAGAAAAGGTAAAGATGCAGGATGTTCTTCCCTTGCTGGTCGGTGATTCGACACCAACCTTTCAAAGCACAGAATGTTAAAATACACACAGCAGGAAGCTATGCCATGATAAACCCAAAGGATGCATGATAGAGTAGTTGCTGGTGTATTTAGTTAAATTATGCTGATGTTGTTTAACTTCAACTAAAACTATATCTGTATATAGAAAAGTTACATTCAATAGAATGGCAACGTTAACAACATAAAATGAAACTAATTCCCTGGTAGAAGATGGCACACATACCAGTCCAATTACAGCAGATATCACAATCGCAGCCAAGGAACACTGCAACAGCAATACAAATGAATAAAAATCAAGAGCAGTGGAAGAGTTTAAAGTATCATAATTAAGACAGGAAATGGTCAAATGTTGACCACTAAAGTGCAAGCATGCAATAATAAGAAGATGTAGGAGCATGCAATAATGAAAAGTAGCCTAGTTGTAAAGACCCTCCGCCTCCAGCCATTAGGTTGCTGGTTCGATTCCCAATGGAGCAAAACGAGAAAGGGCCAACAATAGGCTCCCTGGTAGGGGGGTTTGAGCCTTGAGGGTGGAGTTTAACATGTCCAGAAAAAAAGAAAGAGATGTAATCATCTTGTCATAACGATAAATACATCTCATAGAACACATAACAAATTGAAGCCAAATTAGAGGATAAGAGACTGGAAACACAGCTCAAACAATGTGACAGTTGAAAGTAATCTAGTTACCGACAGTAGGGTGAAAACTTTACACCTTCAAACAATATCCTTTACCTGAGGTATGTATTCAAATACAGGAGTCAAGAATAATAGAGCACATGCCATTATAATTCCCATCACAAGTCCCGATAAGCCAGTTTTTGCTCCACTTTCATGATTTACAGCTGATCTAGAAAAAGAGCCTGCCAGCGCATTAGGAAAAGAGAAACTTTGTCAGAAACCAGCTGGGAAAAGTTGTGCAAAGATACAAATGTGGAATTGATCAAGCCACAATATTCCAAACTCACCAGTTGTAGGGTAAATTGAGAAGAATGAGCCACAAATGTTGGCCAAGCCAAGACCAAATAACTGTTACAATAACAGAACCATAAGAAGTTGTAGTACGAAATTTTCTGATTAGAGCAAGACATTTCTTGTGGTTATTATACCATGACAAATAAAAAGAGGAGAAGATATGAGTAACAAGTTAATGTTTATGATAACTTGTTCGAATCTCACAACAGAGCATAGTTAAATCGATAAATGAATGAATAGCAGTTCTTGCGAGATCATCAAAAGTCACACACCTCTTGGTTCGAATCCAACTCATATCCATTTTTTGCTGCCAGAGCCTTAGCAATCCCCACTGATTCCTATAAAGTTGGGAAACTGGTATCACCTATCACAAAAGGATTGTCTAACCAAAAGATGAAATTGAAAAGCATGCACAATTATAATGAATGATTAAATTCTTACTTACCAGGATAGCTACACCGGTAATAAGAACTGTAGTAGGGATCAAAGACTTTACATGGTCAAAATGCTTTGGTACAGAAAACTTTGGCAGCCCCTGAGGTATATCACCCACCTAAACCAAAGCATACACATCTTTATTGGAGTGATAACAGTTCTGTTAATTCAGATCATGCAGAGTAACAAATAGGAAAATGTTTTTAAAAAGAACAAGATTGTGCAACAATCTTTTCTGTGATGTAGGTTCAATATTTCAACCAAGATCCTATGAACACAGAGCCACTCATCCTTCCATTAGTCCATACCTCTCACCATACTCAACTTTTTATCTGATCTGATTTTTAATAGCACTGATGCATCAAAAGTGAAGATATCCTTTCCTCTTTATATCTTTTGACATCAAGGACGTTCAATGAGCAAGCTCCCCCCCCTCCCCCCCCCCCCCCAAAGGTCAATGCAGCAATAGCTCCCTAGAAAAAAACCATAGACGACCCCTTGAATTTCAATGAAATAATCAGTATAAGCATCAATCCTACTTTTCAGTCATATCTTTTGCTTTAGCGATGATAATACCCAATTAGGACAACATTTGTCGCTGACTAGAGCATTCTCAATTGTTCAGGAGTCGAGAATTTTTTAAAGTGAAATTGACAAACATATAAAAACAAGCATCAATGGATGTGTAGCATCTAAGGAAATGCTCTAATGGGATAAGTCAAAGTGGTTAACATCACGATTTTGGTCCTACTGACCCTGCAGGTCAGATATTAATATTAACTTTATGCAACTATCCTTTTCAGTCCATGTGAGGAAAAAAGTGGCAAATGTAAGTTTAATCCAACATTATTGTGCGCTAATCTTAGACTCAATTCCTGAAGTACAGGTTGAGCTTAATACATGTCGTTCTCACCAACGAAATTGAAGGTGGATGATAGATTTTCACAAAAGTTGTACCCAGAACAACAGCTGTGAGGGGACCAGCTGCACGCAGAAAACGGAAATGCTTCCTTGTTTTTCCCTGAAGAGAAAACAATTAAAGCACATGAACCTTCATATAACTGTTAAAATTAGTATATAATACACATGAATATCGGTAAACTCCTACCAAGTGCTTCATGGTCAGAAGAATAGCTAGCATCAGTGAGCCCATAACAAAAGGAGGCCACGAGAACTACAAAAGGAAATCAAGTTAGCCTTTGAAGAAAAAATATCTTGTAGCAATTAGACAAAAAATCATCTCTCTAACTTAAGAAAATGAATGGAAATCTTTTTTCCTTTTCCAAAATCTACTCCGGAAAAGGCAATAAGGAAGTTTTGTTGACTTAAAACTGCCTGGAAACAGTTTCAAAATCCCCAACAAAACGATTCCAATCCTTGACGACATTCAGCACTTATCCCTAACTAACTTATACGACCTTCATGTACTAATTCTTTTAATGAATGTCCTTTCCCTCTACATGATTGAGAAAAATGGCTCTCCAAGTTAATATTGTAGAAAATTGCCCCTTTATACAACCTGAAAACCTCTGACTAAAACTAAAAATCCTCCCCAACAGTACAACTTTGCAGAACAATCACGTCAAAGTTAAGTAGACAGGTACATCTGATATTGCAGAGAAAATTATAGTCGCTGCAAGTTCAGGCTAACAGTGAATAGCATGTCCGACACACGAAAGAAAGAAATCACATTTTCAATTTGCATATTTCAATGTAAATTACTACTAGCATTTAAGTTTCTCTTAGCATGCATAAAATGGAGTAACCTGCAAATGTTTAATTCTGGAAAGTACCTTATCTGATCCAGCAATTATACTTTTGACTAGAGGTATGATTTTGCTACTCCGTTCTATTTCATAGCCCAAGAAGTACTTTGCTTCAGACAAGGCAATGACAAAAGCAGAGGCGGTTGTAAAACCAGAAATCACAGAGTGGCTGATGAAACGTATGAGCCATCCAAGCCTATGGAGGAGTTGAAATAAGGAGTGAGACGTTTAACAAATTTAGTCAGAAAGATAATGAAGATGCAGAATTTTCAATCAGTTGGAAAGAGAACCGATCAAGGATACAGAACTCGTACCCAAAGGAAACATCAAAAGGCCCATTATTAGCAATCATGATCAACTCTTTAGATGCTCAAGTTTCCAAGTCTTGCACGAACTGCGTTATTTGCATTATACTCCTCTTAGGAAGAAGTAGGTCTAGGTCAATGTTAAGCATGGTCTTTTTTCTTCTTTTTTTTTTTTGATAAGTAATCAAAAAAATTTATAAATGCTTGCACTAAGCCAGTGCGACAAAAATATAACTACAAATTGTGACATTCCCCTATTGTGTCTAAAATTGCTTAGCGTGATCTATTTTTACAATCCCCTTTGTTATGAATGGTTTCAGTCAGTTGAACAGGAACATGGTGAAAAAATTATCCTAGAAGCTCTGATTTTCTTTGTGCGTGTTAAGAGATGATAGACATGGAATCTGCTTATTTCTCACAGTGACTACAAGAAATTATGACAACCTAGAAAATTCAAATTTTAACAAAGTAAGAAAGAACCAAAGCTTAAAGCAGAAATACCTTAAGAGTGCCATTGTGCATTCAAAGATGCCAACCATAAGTGCTAACAATATAGCAAGCTCCGTGTATAACTTGTCTGACGGATCAACTATGCTGCTCAAGACATTTGACACTAGAAGAGACGTCAATGCAACTGGACCAATTGCAAGCTGACGAGATGACCCAAATATGGTGTAGATAAATATAGGGATGAAACCAGAATCTGTTTAGCAAAGTCAGATTAAGAAAAGATACAATTTTGAAGATAACCAAGTAAACAGAAGATAAAGATTTTGTAACTTATTAATAATCAAATGAACATAGCTAGGAAAGATAGGTTCATAAACAACTAGACATTTGAAAAAAATCTGAAAAGGTCATGGAAATTAGTTTATCCAAGTAGAATTTTCTTTCAGATATGGATGCTAAATTAAGAAAGAAAGAAAATGGTGCTTCAAAGAGGAGGAAAATTTTGCCTTCTTATTTCAAAACAAGGAAAATAACCTAAGAACCTAATTCAGAGCTCCATACTTGAATCGAGAATTATTTCGATATCAGCATCAGTATTCAAAGGTCGTTTTGCTAAATTAGAGAAAAATATCGAGAACCGTATCTGCTTCACTTTATCAAAATTAACAAAAGAAACACAAAGAAGTAAATAAGTTCCAACGATGTACTTACAAAGTCCATATATGGGTTGAAGCCCAGCCAGCTTTGCATACGACATCGACTGTTCACGCAACAGAATCAGTTAAAATGAAAATGCATACTACAATTTATTCATTCTCATTGAAAGACCAAAAGTGCCTCCAAAAAGGTACACTTGACAAGCAGTCTAGCATAAGAAGATAGCTCATATAATGCTTAAGACTAAAGGTGAGGACATTTGGTTTACCCCATTATTGTTTTGATATTAGCAATTAGTCTAAAGGTTCCAGCGTTTACATACTCATTCCTAATCAAAAACAACTTAAGAAGACAAGTGAGCCCGACTATAACGTCATCGATTATAACTTTTTTTTGGAGGGTCCAAGCATCAATTATAACTACTTTGAGCCTGTACTGCAGATCATAAGAGTAAAAAGAGGACCCGGAGCTGCATATAATCTTAACTTGTGACATTGGTATTGTGAAATTGGTAGAATACATTTAAGAAACGCAGAGACAAAATGGAATGAACTGACACTGATTGAATAATGCACATGAAAAGCAGAGATATGCCAGTAAGTTCATAACTAGAGGCAGATCCAGAATTTAAATGCAGTGAATGCATTACTTAATATGTATATTTAAAGAAGTCCTTAAATTATATATATATATATATATACACACACACATACTCTGAACCCGATGCAGTACATGCACCCACAGTTTATAAGCTGGATTAGCCTACGTTTATAGCAAGAAAAACTCTCTCTGTCCCATTTTATATGATACAATTATTAAGTAAACCGCCTTTCTTTTTTAATAAACAATTTTTCAAACATATTTTTTAATATATTGAGTTATTACCTATTGTGTCTCATAATAGTACTTTTTACCTAGTTTACAAATCTGTACACTTTATTTTGAAAAACATGAAAACCTAGACCCTTGTCCCCTGAACACATAAAATTGGACAGAGAGAGTGATTAACTAGGCACCACCAACCTATGAATTCTATAACAATGACTAGGATGAATTTACAGTATTATCAACTTAGCTCAGCAATGGTTACAGTAACAGAGATGACAATTCTGTAAGGGATTTTTATATAGTGACATGAAATTTTTACACCATTAGTGTAATTTAACCAGTTACAGCAGATTACTTACCATTTATTCTAGGTTACATCAATGTTATTAAATAGAGTTACCATCAATTACCTTTAAGTAACCTGATTGTGTAAATATTTTTTGAATCTTCAATACAATAAACCTAAGCTCTTCTGTAAGATTCAATTCATAATTTAGCTCAATTCAACAATGTTTTACACCATCATGTAATTTAACCAAAGGGAAGCCTTGGAGCAACGGTAACGTTGTCTCCGTGTGACCTATAGTTCACGGGTTCGATCCGTGAAAGCAGTCATCGATGCTTGCTTTAGGGTAGGTTGTCCACATCAGCTTTAGGGTAGGTTGTCCACATCACACCCCTTGGGCGCGACCCCTCCCTTACCCTGTGTGAAGGCTGGATGCGAGCTGCCCTTTTTCTCTTTCTTTTTTCTCCATGTCATTTAACTCACAGTTTATTCTAGCTTACATTTTAAGAACCTTGATCGTGTAAAAATAGTATATATGCTATCAGTGCATTAAACATAAATTCTTCTGTAAAATTCAATTCATAATTTGACCTGTAATGAAAAAAATTATAGTACCTGAGGAACGAGCATGATGCCTACGGTGATACCAGCCATGAGATCAGGTTGCAAGTACTCATTCACTTTATAAGTTCGCATCCAACGGGAACAAGGAAAGAAGAAGTCAATCCACTCAATCCACGTCATCCTTTTCACCCTCGCCTTCCATTTCGATACAACAGACGGCGAAGAAGAAGACGACGTCGTCGTAGTTGACGGATGTTCCAGCGGGATGATTTTCACCGAGCGGTGACTACCGGCCGACATAGAAGTAGGAGAAGAAGAAGAAGAAGCAAAATTATCTGCGGAAGTAGCTATAGCCGTGAGGTTTTGGGAGCTAGGAGAGGCGTAGGTTCTGTCCATGGCGGTTGGTTAAGGGAGCATAAATTGGAATGCGATCTCGGCGGCGAACGGCGGCGAAAAGAAGAAAATGTTAGTGGAGTCAGGCGGAAGGTGGCCCCCACCGGGGAGTGTCAGAGCACCTGTGGCTGTGTGAGGAAGAAGAAATGGTGATTGGCGGAAAATATTAGTATAACTGTAAATGCCACATGAGAAATGAGGAGAGGGCCACCACTGCCTTATAAAGACTTAAAAAGATGACACAAATCTGAATCCTTATAGGAATCTCATTCCCCCTATTTTACTCTTGTTTTTTCCCTTTGTTTTGCCTGTCTTTTAAGTAACTATTTATTTTAGTTACTATGCACATTTACTTGCACTTGATTGAATTTAATTTTGGAATTAAATTTTAGATTAGTTTATTATATATTTGGTTGGGACAAAATTACAATATAATTAATCCCAGGATTATAATATTTTTTTATTTTTATGAGAGAGTGGAATAATTAATCCTAAGATAATTAATTCCGGGATAACTTCTTTCTAACCAAACGACTCCTAGGGGTAGAGATCTCTGTCTTTAACTAGAGATGTCGGATTTAAGTTTTAAGAATAAAAAAATCTTGATGGGAGTGCTTTCTTCCCTTAATAGGCTTTACATGATGCAAATATGAATTAATTGAAAGTTCAATACGAGTATTGGGCAGTTGCGGAAGAAAAAGTTGAATATTTCACTTTGAAAGTCAGAACATTTGTACAAAATACACCAGTATTATCAATTAAGAAATAGTATGTACAACGATTATGTAATATTAATTTGGAGCAAACTCCATATGTATTTTGGTCGGTCGAAACTAATTACATCTGGTAGCCAAAAAGTGTATATAATATACGTATATACATAAAATATATATTTTGTGGGCTATTATTTACATATATATATTTTTTCTAAAAAAAATTATCTTTGCAAGGCTCATTCCAGTATTTTATTTTGATTAAAATTGTTACCAGTTTTGAACTGATTATTCGATATTTGGGGAAGATCCACAAAAGAACTTACTTTATTTCCTTTTTTGAAACATGTTTCATGATGTAAACTTCTTATTAAAATGATAAAATCAAACACATAGAGACAAGATGCTTGGTTAAGCTGTATTTTTATGTAAACTCTTACATCATTCAAAGACAATATCATAGGAATTAGGATACACTTTATAATTAAAGGTACTAAAGCTTATCATTTCAGCATCTTATTCTTTTGCAATTAGTGGTGCAAAAGCATTCTTGATTTCTTTAATTGGACTCAACTTACTCTTGGTATGTCTTTGTAAAAGTTAAAATGAGTTACAACTATATAGAGGGTAATCATACTTTATTATCTTTGTCTCGAGTCTTAACAAACAACAATAAAAACAACATGTTCAGGGTAATTTTATATGTACGCAAATCTTGTCCTTATCCCTATGAAGATGCAGAAATTGTTTCAAATAAAAAATATTGGTAAACGTTATTTATTTCGAATACTTAAAATAGTAGAGTTTCAATTTATACATCCAAAAAATGTATTTTAAATGTATATAGAGATTATATAAATTACAATCACAAAAAAAAAAAAAAAAAGTAACCTGTTACTTGGTGAAGATGAGTTATATCTAACTCGTAATTGAAAGTTCAAATTTACTCCTGTTTATGCCATTTTAAAAGACACTATTATTATGTGGAGGTCAAGCAGTTGTTTCTTTGATTATATCTTTTAATTTTGTTTATAGTAGTTCTGAATTATAAAATATTTATTGATAATACATTTATGTAATTGCTTTTAATACTTAAATTTGATTTCAAAAACTGTAGATCAATATCTGAGTTCACACAAAGTTCAATAAGTCGAACTTTATCAATTCTGAGAGAGAGAGAGAGAGGTGGAGTGGAGTAATTTATTCCAAAGCCAGGCAATAAAACCCCATAGAGGTCATTATCAATGTTTTACATGTTAAATATTATTATGTATTTATTAATTAATGTGATATAAACTTCCGATTGTTACTCTACCCATCCTAATTTATGTGGCAGAGTTCGAATTTCGAGAGTCCAACGACTTTTTTTTTACCAAAATTTTTTTATATGCTTTTTAGATATTTTAAATTGTTAATTAATTTAACTTATAATACTTTTTACGTAGTTTTCAAATATATAAAATTTACTTAAAAAAAAAATTATACACAAATTTACCATCAAAATTAAGAAATTTGATTCTTGAAATCCATCTCTGCCACATAAAGTAGGACAGACGGAGTAATAAATTAGGTTTGTCAGAGTAGTGCATGATTGAGCAAAAACGTATCTAGACGCTTATTAGGGAGTGTTCATTCCTACTTATAAATACACTCTAAAAGGCGACAAAATTCATGTTTCTGCGGGGAGGGGGGGAGGGGGGTTAAGGGGGGAGGGGGGTAAGGGGGCGGGGGTTGGAGACGTGCACGAAATTATCAGTTGCACGTTTAGCCGAATTAGATTAAAAGTTGACCATTTCTATAATCAGAAAGCTACGTTTTAAATTTTTTATAACTTGACAAAAAATATTTAGCAAAGCTGGAAAAAACATATTGATTTTTTTTTTTCAAGCGTAGATTGAATTGACTTCAGCTAATTTAAGTAAACGAGTACCAATATTGCTATATTTGATAAATACATAGATATGGTATACTTTTCTTCTCTGCCTCTTCCATTTTGAGGCTCTTCTATTCTAATAAGAGCCAATACAATTTCAGAAAGGTTTGAAAGTTTTCCTGGATACATTTTTATACTTCAAAGAAATTGTTCAACAGTGGAAAAAGCAAAAGAAATTGTTCAAGAGGAAATGTTCTTGCAATTTTTTTTTCTTCTGGCGACTGCTTTAAAAAAGAATTTAGAAACATTCAAAAGACTTTTTAAGAACGACAACAAACCAGAAATGTTCCTTTTTATTTGCAAGGAAAATTCTCCAAAAAAGCTTATCTAAATCTAATTTATTTTGACCGTCGAAGTTTAAATATGTCTTGTGTGCCTTTCTGATACTCTCAGAGATTTGGGTTAATATTTGGTTTTGATAAGCTTACACTACTAGAAATACGCAAAATTTCCGACCAACGTTGTTCGGTAAAAAATAGCGACCAAAAACCATCTAGCTTGGATGGAAACTGGGAAAAAAAAATAATTACATTTATTTTAAAAAAATATCGACCAAAGTTGGTCGGTGAATTGGTCAACAAGTTGACCGAGCTGGTCAGACTTGCTAAGTCAAAGAAATTTTCACATTACCGACCAACTTTGGTCGGTAATGTGAACCCAATTTTTTAAATTTTAATAGTTATATTATTATTTAAAATATTTTATAAAATTTAAAGAATTTATATTTAAAATTACCGACTAACGTTGGCCGGTTAATGCAGGAGAAGCATTTACCGACCAACTTTGGTTGTTATATTTTAATTTCTGAAAAATAACCGACCAAAGTTGGTCGGTTATTAGGTCAACATTGGTCAAAATTATGAAACGCTTTTATATTTACTATCTAAATAATATAAATGTAATCCGTTAACACTTTTGTAATACAAATAACTAATACACTAACATATACTATAACATGCTATATATGTAGTTAAAGTAGTACAACGAAGCGTATGTTTTATATATATATATATAGGTATAGCCGTATATATATAAGAACACGAAGCGCTAGGGACACATGGTCGGGTTCTTTTAGGGATAGATCACTTGTGAAGATCCTAATTAGTATATATAATTAATCATCAAATGTATCTATTTGTAAATTGATTCATCGACTTATAACTTATTTAGGTGCATCGATGAATATTAAAAACAAAACGTTTTGACCTATATCGATTAATATAAAAAATAAAACGTCTCGACCTAAAATAGAATAATATTATATTGGTTTATCAATTGATAAACTATTCCTACGTAGTTATGTATAAGATTGATCAATTACAATATTTTGTGTGTGTGTGTGTGAAATTACTCATATACTTAAATATAACTTAGAAAATTTACTTAGATAGATGCTATTATAATCTATTAAAAGTAATTACCTAGTTAATATAATTTTTTGTAAAGGTTATGCCTATAGTTTATAATTATATATAATAATTGTATAGTTAAATAAAATAGATGATCATAGTTAATAATAATTTTTTATAGTTTATAATAACTTTTTTTATAGCTTATAATATTTAAGAAATAAAAATAATTTTTTTTAAATAACCGACCAAAGTTGGTCGGTATTTGGTCAAACGGTCAACACTTAATGTACCGACCAACATTGATCGGTAAGTCTGAAAACAAACCTGAAATATAAGGGATTCCCCCCATTTTTTCATACATCTCTTCTCAAAATTCCCTTATCTCCCACTCATCTTCCCCTCTCCTTCTCTATTTCCCTCACACAAATTCCATTCCCCACCCCGCGTCGCCACCGCCCAGCTGCCGCCGCGCCGTCGCCGTCACCGCTGTCGCTGCCACTGCTACTGCCGCGCCTCTCCTTCTCCACCTCCTAAAAATTCTAGGTTTGAATTACAACTTATGTCTGTTGTGTATAAATCTAATATTTTGTTTATTAGCTATGAATTAGTTTCAATTGATTAGTGTTTCAATTGATTATTTAACATTGTATTTTATAGAAATCTAGGGTTTAGGTCTTGTTTTAATTGAATTGATTACATATGGTATAAATTGAATGTTTGAGTATGTATTATCTTGAATAGTTTAGTTAAAATTGAATTATTAACTTTGTATTGTCTTGAATAGTTTAGTTAGAATCTAGGGTTTAGGATTTGTTCTTGTGAATCGAACTTTTAGGGTATGGTTTGAATTTATAGGATATAATCCTAACTTTTAGTTTATGTTTAAACTCGTAAGATATAAATTGAACTTTTAGTTTATGTTTAAACTCGTAGTGTCACGACCCGGATTTTCCACCCTCGGGAGTCGTGATGGGGCCTACTATTAGGAGCTAGGCAAGCCAATTATTCATTATCTCTCTTAGCAAACCTCGACATTAATAAAACAACGAAACTATTAATAGAAAAGCGGAAGTCTTAAATATAAATAAACTGAAAGCAATGCGGAAGTTCAATACAACTCTACCCAAGAACTGGAGTCACAAACTCACGAACGTCTAAAGAATGTTAAATACAACGTCTAAATAAAAACATAGTTTTGTTTGTTCCGGTACAAAGGATAACAAACTAAAGTAAAGATAGAAGAAACTCCGGGC